GCTTAGAGTATTTTACACCTCTTCAGTCACTATCAGGTCTTTTAAAGCGATATTGAAAAATAATCTGAGCTTTGAAGCGAAAAAGTAACACCATTTTTAAATAGTCGTAGATTTATATAGAGAAGACCTTTTGATATGAAAGAGTATTCATTAGTAAGCTTTAATGGAGTATTTTTATTTTACTCTAACAACGAAGTTCGAGATATTTTAAAAAAACTTCATGTGACACGAATTAGAAATTTTTTTTTTATATAGAAAATAATTTGAAAGGACATGTCACACGACTGATAATAATAATAATAATAATAATAATAATGTTTTGTTTACTTTTTTCACGAATTTGTATCAATATTTATCATATATTATCCGAAACACTACATATCTCCTTACTTTTTAATATAATAATAATAACAAGGCACAAATAATTAACTAATCGATAAAAAAAAAAAAAAATGAATTTGAACTTCAAAAATAGAAAATTTTGTTTAGTATTCATTCTGACATTCATTATTACAAATGTATTTTCTGACTCTAGTACAACACGTAACGTAGCTGTTAGTGTAGTGGCAAATAATAAGCTTTATATTCTTGGAGGCCAAAGTATAGGATTACTAATGACGGAATCATTTTTTTATGTGGATTTAACTAGTGATTTCAAAGTTACAAGTGTACCATGGGTAAATGACGGCAGTCTACCTGTACTTAATTCTTGGGCTGTTGGAGCAGTTGGTGGATCAAACAATTCAACAATCTTTTTATTTGGTGGAGTTATGAGAAATATAGCTTCGACAGCATTCGATTTCAGTAATTTGCTTTATGCATATGATATAAATACAAAAACTTGGAGCGCTCCAAAAACAACTGGCATTACTCCCATAAATCGTAGAGCTAGTAGTGCTGTTGTGGATAGCAATGGGAAAGTGTATATTTTTGGTGGGGAAACAGATGCATTTACTGGATCTTCTTCTAATCAATTTTTAAATGATATGTACACTTTGAATACTGCAAACCTGACTTGGAATCAAGTTCTCTCTAATAATCCACCAACAACAATTGCACAACACACTTCAACTTTATTACCTGATAATAGAATTGTAATTATTGGTGGATACGAAGGTCAAGCTATGGCTGACATGTATAAAGTATGCATTATTTTTATATATACATATAGAAGATATTGATTAATTTCCTTTTTTTTTTTAAAAAAACAAAATAATATAGTAACTATTTCTTTATTTTATAGATAAAAGTTTTTGATATAAATAGTTCAACTTGGTCAATTGTGGTAAATATTTAATCAATTAAAATATAATATTTGCAAAATTTTTATAGGAAAAATCAGAGTATTTATTTTATTTTTCTTACATGCGGGCGAAAAATTTAGACAGTAGATGGTCCATTATCTATCCAACCTCGAACTGGTCATTCAGCTGTACTTTGTAATTAATATTTTAATTTTAAATTTTTTTAAAAAAAAAACATCATACTAAAATTATATATATTGTATAGCAAAGGATGGAAAGATAATTGTTTATGGTGGTAGTGGATCTACAGGAACCACATCATTTCCTGAACTTATAGTACTGGATACAACCACAAATCCTTTTAAATGGTCTACACCCAGTTTTCCATCTGTTAATCGTGCTCCACCTCTAACATTGCATACAGCTAATTTAATAGAAAATCAGATGATAATATGTTTTGGTATATTTTTTATATTTTTTTTAAAAAAAAATTTTATTTTCTTTCAACTCTAAAATTAATTATAATTATATATATATAGGAAATATTACAAATAATTCTACAAATCCACAATCATCTAGTGCAAGTACTTATATATTTGATATTAAAGATTTTACTTGGAAAACAAGTTATTCAGCATCTGAGGCAAACTTGGTATCAGCATCATCATCATCACCATCATCATCACCATCATCATCATCATCATCATCATCATCATTAAACACTGTCCAAATATTAGCAATTGTAATTTCAATTTTATTAATACTGTTAATTGCAATAGCATCATTCATATTTATAAGATTATATCTAAAGAAAAAAAAATCAGTTCCAAGTGATGTTATAGAAATGCCTAGTGAGCAACAACTTCAACAATATGGGAATTCTCAGTTTGTTCCTAATGTTACACCTTATCCTAATAACCCTCCCTATCCTAATAACCCTCCCTATCCTAATAACCCTCCCTATCCTAATAACCCTCCCTATCCTAATAACCCTTCTTATCCTAATAACCCTTCTTATCCTAATAACCCTTCTTATCCTGATCATAATGTGTTAAGATAATTTTCTCAAATAAATAGATTTGTATTTTATATATATTTATATTTATTTTTCCATATTTTCATTTAATTTGTGATTTGTGATAGATCTGCACGAAATTTTGAAAATTAGATAGTAAATTAAAACTTAATAAATTCAACCCGTGTTAAAATCTCAGCATGTTTATTATACAATTGCATATTTTAACTCTACACAATTATGTCCAAAAGTAAATTAGTTGCCCCTACACTTATTTCTCATGGTCTTATTATTCCTGAATTACATTTTGGACCTTTTTCATGAAATTGGTGGTTGGAAATAACTACTGAAATTGAAGAATTCTTTCCTATATGTGTAGGAATGTCAATAGTAACAGAATTAAATGGTCGAAACTTTACTGTATGTGTTTTTAAAGGTAGCCAAGGTCAGCCAAGATATGTTTGTGAATCAGGTGAATATGTTAGTAAAGAAGAGGACTTTATAAGTAGTGCCCTTAATCCTTTATATCAGGAAATTTTTAAAAATAAAGCCAAATTTTCTGGAGTGTGTGAATTTGGTCTAGATAATTCTTTATTATTAGAGAAACTTTTAGATGGTGTATTGTTTAGACCATTTTCAGTAA